GCTTATGGTGACGTTGTGGTATCCCTTGGCACCCAACTGCCAGAATACCCTTCCATCCAAGTTGCAATGCTTACAAAAGAGAGTTCTAAAGATGGAATATTTATCACATACATGCACCCCAGTTACCTCTGGCATTTTAAGTCTGACAGCCTTATTTCCAACTCAACTTTGCTTTAGGAATTCCTGGTTTCATTCGTTCAACTCGATATTTCCTCCATCTCCAAATGGAAATCACTTGATTGATTTCAATTACCAGCCTGAGAGTTTCCAATATCAAGCCCTTCCTCTGTGCAAGGTTCCTTAGGCTAACATTTTGTTTAGATCTGCATAACAGTAAAGACACTTAAATAAAGTTTCCACTATGTGAAGGGGCCAGGATAGAAGTTCTTGCGAATGGATGCCCAGGATACTTGAGAATAATCCTGCCCCACCAGTGAAGTTCCAGACACCTGGTCCTCAGGCAGCCACTGAATTTTGTAATGATAAGTCTTTATGCCAGCCGTCCGAGTTCTGCCCACCGCCACATTAAGGTGCCAAGTAACACACAGAGACTTATATTAGGTACAATGCTGCTGGACAATAAGTAGGATTTATTATCTGCTGTCTCTGTCTTAAGTACCAACCATAATTTATATATTTTTATAAAGACTTATCTGATCGAGGACGCTGGTGACATGCATGCTCTCATGTGAGGCTCACATGGTGGCTCCCAGAGAAGAGAGGAGGAGGAGGAAGAGGAAGAGAGCGACTTCCTGCTTGTCCCTGCTTATATTCTAAGTCGGCCTGCTATATCACTTCCTTCATGGATCACAAGACTTCTCTTTACTACATTTCTCAGAATCCTCCTCGACTCCTAGTCCTGCATAACTTGCTTCCCTATTGGTCAACAGTACTTTACTTATCAACCAATAAGACAAACATATACAGAAGGACCTCCCCAATCACAGAGGGGTTGGGCTAGGCCCTTAGGCCTGAGCTACAAGGGTCTTGGAGTTTCAATGTCCAGGAGATGAAGGAAGGCATAAAGTCCTTTGCTCCATTAGACAATCCTAAAGAAGCATTGACGGGAAGGTGTGGAAGATGAAGGATGGAAGCCTAGAAAGCTCACATCTCTCCTTTGGGACACAAAGCACAGAACTGCAGAAGCCTGGGCACCATAGCAACAGTGGTTCAGGAGTGGTTCCTGCTTGGTCTGGGAGTTGTAGTTTTCCAGCCTTTGCATTAGAGGAAAGGCCTCATTGCCTGTGAGGACCCTGATTGTAGACACATCCAGTGGTGGGGACCTGTTCACACTTAGAATTACAGACAAATTTACAGGGCTAGCAGGACTTCAAAATGTCTGAAGAATTGGAATTTCCATCAGAAACTGCTGAGAGAAATTGGCTGTGAATGGAGTAGAGGGAGATAGTATTAGCATTCCAGGCAGAAGAAGTTCAAATTTAAGACCAAGACCAAGCTCAGTGGGTAAGGGCACCAGCCACCCAGCCTGATGACCTGAATTTAATCCTGCTTGAGCCCCTAGAGTTCAATCCCCTAGGACTACCCTTCCCCAAGTTCAACGCCCCCCTTTAGGTAGTAGAAGGATAGAACCAACACTGTGTGTGTGTGTGTGTGTGTGTGTGTGTGTGTGTGTGTGTGATGTTTATTATTTCTGGATAACTAGAGACAGGAGTTTGGGAGGGAGTAGAAGGCAGTATAATCTTAAGACTTGGAAATAGAACATCAGACCTCAGATTTTGGCATTGTGAAACATTGACTCCACAGTTCAGCCAGAATGAATGGCTCCCTCTTTTTTGGGGAGGGGTGGGTCAAGACAGGATTTTTCTGTAGCTTTGGAGGCTGTCCTGGAAGGCGTTCAGTAGACCAAACTGGCCTTGAACTCTCAGACACCCCTCCTGTCTCTACCTCCTAAGTGCTGGGATTAAAGGTGTATGCCACCACTGCCCTGTAATGGCTCCTCCTCTTGAGTGGTGTGTGTGCTTCAGGGTGTGGTCCATGCTGAGTGGGGTTCTCTCGCTGTACGATGCTCCCAGTCCCACTTCATCTTTCTATAACATCACTGCCACAACAGTCTATCAGGAACCCAACAAGGCCCACGGCCTGTGGCTTGGAGTCACAGGCTGTGCCCCCAGCAAGCCAGGGTTCAGCTGCTTAGCCTCAATAAACCTATAAAAAGAGCCAAATTGATGGCACAATCAGAAAAAGATTTTTTCAATGTGGTTACATTGAAAAGAGGGACAAAAAGTTCAGGTGACTCCTCCAAGTTCCTCTTCTGATTCCAGACACGAAGATAGGGTTTAAGTAGCAGGCAAGAGAGATGCATAACTAACCAATCTGGCCAAGGTGTGGTTGCCCTGCCCACAACTGTCTCAGCTCCGAGTATCTCCTGCATCTGATAAACTAATAAAGCTAGAAGTTGTTTGGCAACCAATTTCCAGTTGAGGAAATTCTTGCCTATGGACATCTTGTCATCAAAGATAAGATTGGTGCAAGTAGACATTCAGTTAAGTCACCTTGGCAGTACTCTGTTTTTCAGCGGATATCTAGCTTCTCTTGAAATTCTGAAAGGTTTGAGCCAGGTATGGTAGCACATGCTTTTTTTAATTTTTGTTTTTGTTTTGTTGTTGTTTTTTGGGGGGTTGTTTTGTTTTGTTTTTTGTTTTTTCGAGACAGGGTTTCTCGGTGTAGCTTTGGAGCCTGTCCTAGCACTCACTCTGGAGACCAGACTGGCCTCGAACTCACAGAAACCTGCCTGCCTCTGCCTCCCGAATGCTGGGATTAAAGGTGTGTGCCACCAACGCCTGGCCGTAGCACATGCTTTTAATCTCAGCATCTAGGAAGCAGAGACAGTTGGATCTCTTAGAGTTCAAGGCCAGTGTGGTCTACAGAGAGTTCCAGGGCAGCTAGGGCTGTTATACAGAGAAATCCTGTCTCAAAAAGTGGAAAAAATGCAAAATTTGATACCTTAGTTCTCTCATAACAATAAGATGAACCTATGGAGTTAGCTGTTTCTGTCTCTAGATAGAATATAGGGTTCCACTTTGTCAGACTTCCTACAGCTACTATTATTCTTCAAACAGAGGCCAAGGATAATTTGTCATTGATCACATGCCTTCATAGCCATTTCTTATAGTGTTTGGGCCAGGAACATTGGGATCGCCCTGCTTTCTACTATTGCTGCATGGTATTTCTGAAGAGAGACATAATAAAGTCTGTACTCAAATAAATAAATAAAGTCTGTACTGTTGGAAAATTGGTCATTCAAGATGGATTGAAGAGCCGGGGACTGAAATGAAACATATTGGAAACTTGTGGAAGGAATCTAACCTTACCTGCCTGAGGGATCGAAAAGATGCTGCCACTGAGAAACAAGAAAGCAAGGGTGAGCCGGGCAGTGGTGACTCATGCCTTTAATCCCAGCACCTGGGCGGCAGAGGCAGGCATATCTCTGTAAGTTCAAGCCCAGCCTAGTCTACAAAGAGAGTTCAGAACTGTTACACAGAAAAACCCTGTCTCAAAAAACCAAGAAAAAAAAAAAAGGAAGGAAGGAACAAGGGTGGTTGGAGGTATAGCATGTGTTAGTATATGGTGTCCTGTGTTCTAGCTCCAGGATTACAAGAAAAAAACAAGGAGGGGTGGGTCTGAATGGTCACCAGTACCTTGCTACTAGAACTTTGTAGCATGACTCACCAGTTCCATAAGGAGCTAGTATTTTGATGAACACCCCCTGAGTGTTCAGGAAACTAATTGAATTGAAACCGTTTTTGTTGTTGTTTTGGTTTTCGAGACAGGGTTTCTCTGTGGCTTTGGAGGCTGTCCTGGAACTAGCTCTTGTAGACCAGGCTAGTCTCAAACTCACAGAGATCCGCCTACCTCTGCTTCCCGAGTGCAGGGACTAAAGGAATGCGCCACCACTGCCTGGCTTAATTGAAATTGGTTTTATGTGGAGCATCTAGATGATGGAAGGGGGTGGGTGGAGCAAGTTGGAATGATTGAAATTAATATTGTGGACACTGGTTATTTTCTCCAGAAACTCTTCTTTAGGGAATGGACTCTGGCTATGTAGCTCAGACTGGCCTTGAATTCACAGACACCCTTCTGTGTCAGCTTCCTGATTGCTTCTATGCAGATGTCAGCTGATAACATCAGATAATTTTTTCTTTTCTTCCTAGTCCTCCTTCTTTTCTCCTCCTCCTCTTCCTTCTTCTCTGAGACAAGGTTTCTCTGTGTAGTCCTGGCTGTCCTGGAACTCATGCTGTAGATCAGGCTGGCCTCAAACTCAGAGACCCACCTGTCTCTATCGTCTGAGTGCTGGAATTAAAGGGGTGAGCTACCACCGCCCAGCCAAAGAACTTTTTTTCACCATGTCACAGGGTAAAGCAGTCCCTATAGCAACTCTGTAGCCATTAGTTTTGTTTGAAACAAGATCTCTCTATGTAGCTCTGGCGGCCTGGAACTCATAGAGATCCACCTGTTTCTGCCTCTCAAGTGCTGGGATTTAAAGGCGTGCATCTCCATGCTAGCCCCTATTATCTGTCTTTTAAGATTTACTTTCTTATATGTATGAGTGTTTTGTCAGTATATATGTGAATCATGTGTATGCTCCTGGTGTCGTCGAGGTCAGAAGAGCATGGGTTCCCTGAATCTAGAGTTGCACCGGCGTTCTCTGACAGAGCAACAAGTGCTCTTAACCTCTGGGTTCTCTTTTCAGTGGGCTATTGGGTTTACTAACAGAAAGGGAAAACAGGCACAGTGAGGTTAGGAAGCTTAGAAGTACACACGTGTTTTGGAGTCACGGCCCATGAGCTTTAACTCCTACGTGTGCTTGGGGCGAGAGAAATAATACTCTTTCCCGAGTGGGACCTTGATCAAGTAGCACAACAATCAGCTGTCGTGACAGTGCTGAGAGCGAGAACTCATTAGAGGCGCAGTCGCCTAAAGGTCAGTTTATCAGCCGTCAGCGTCTGGGGGCGGGGCCTCCGGGTGCGCAGGCGCAGATCGACGCGCTTGGTTTCTACAGGGCACGGCTGGCAATCGGCTTGCGACGTCGCTCTGTAGACGTCGCACTGCGAGCGTCCTTTACGGCAGGACTTTTCGCCTCCCCGAAGCCGGCGGTCGTGATCTGCACCCAGGTAGCGGACAAGGACACTTCTATGGTGCGGTAGGCGCTACTGTATCCGCGCAGACAAGTTTCCTTTCGCGTGGGTGGCCCGGGTCCTGGGTGTGTGCTCCCTCCTCCCAGGCCCTTCGCCCCGCAACTCTATCCCCGCCGGCCTTCCATGTCAGCTCCGCCTTGTGCCGGACGCCTGCCTTGGCCTTCCTACCCTGACGTCCCGCCTCTGTTTTGTTTTTGTTCATTGACAGGGTCTCTCTGTCTAGCCCTGGCTGTCCTGGAACTCACTGCCCTCGAACTCAGAGATGCTCCTGCCTTTGCCTTCCAAGTGCTTAGATTAGCCGCCATGCCAGGCTGCACCTGGTTTCTTACCTGGGTCCGCCAGTGATTTCGGGCCCCATCCTCCTGAGCCCTCTGCATTCGTGTTGTGCGTCAGGGCCTCTGTCCCCACAATATGCCCTGACTCCTATTGTCATTGCCATGTTGAAACCCAGAGCACCAGAATTTATTCTTTCTTCTTTTTTTTTTTTTTTTTTTTCTCTGAGACCTGGTTTCTCTGTGTAGCGCTGCCTGTCCTGGAACTCACTCTGTAGACCAGTGCGGAATTAAAGGTGTGTGCCACCACCGCCTGGCTATTCATTTCTTTATAGTTGTACATGAAAGTTGTTTGAAATTTCCTGTTTGGTTTTTACTTATTTATTTTTAGCAGTTGCCTAGCACCTGCTCTGATTTTGCTATCAAAAGCAAAATCCAGTAAGGAAGGCATACAATAGTCTGTTACCGAAATGAACCAAGTGTTTTTTTAATTTAATTTTTAATTGTGTGTGGATGTGTGAATATGGGCATGTGGGTGTAGCTGCTCCATGAGGCCAGAGGCATCCTATCCGCCTGAAGACTAGATTCAGCTGGGCATTGGTGGTACACACCTTTAATCCCAGCACTCGGGAGACAGAGGCAGGCAGATCTCTGGGAGTTCGAGACCAGCCTGGTCTACAAGAGCTAGTTCCAGGACAGCCTCCAAAGCCCCAGAGAAACCCTGTCTCAAAAAAAAAAAAAAAAAAAAAAAAAGAAAGAAAGAAAAAAGAAAAGAAAGAAAGGAAGAAAGAAAGAAAGGAAAGAGAGAGAGCTTCTGAAGGGAAGCATTGTCTATGTTGGAATGTAAAGAAATAATGTGTGTCTACACATCTTTTTGTTTTCCATTTTCTTGGTTGTTGTTGTCTGGTTGTTGTTTTCTTCTCTTGAGCCAAAACAATACATACACACACACACACACACACACACACACACACACACACACACTCTTTAGTTTTCTTTTCCATGAATTTTGTGAAAGCCCCCTAATTATTCAACTGGGAGAACTTGTCTAATAAAATTTAGTAATCCCAGCACTTGGAAGGTTGGAGGCAGGAGAATGAGGAAATTAAGGCCCTCCTTGACTACAGTAGTGACTTGAAGGCAGCATGGGTAAGATGAGATATTATCTCAAAAAAATAAAGTTTGGTGAGAAGAGATTTGGGGACTAGGACTTCACAAATGAACTGTCTTGTTTTTTTTCTCAGAAACATCTCATTTTATTGCACTCTTATTTCCTTTGTCTTCTTTTATAGCCATGCCATTCCTAGATGTGCAGAAAAGGCTAGGCATTAGCCTAGACCGTCACTTAGTATTCCAAAGTGTTGAACAGCCCTACAAGATTCCCTCTAGGTGCCATGCTTTTGAAAAAGAATGGATAGAATGTTCACATGGAATTGGTGCTACCCGAGCTAAAAAAGAGTGCAACATCGAGTATGAAGATTACAAGGAATGTCTTCTTCGGTTCAAAACAGTAAGCAAATAATGGACGTGGGAGCCGAATTACTTCCTCCCCCTTTCCCTTGCTCTCTTTTTGTGTCATGCTGGGCATGAAAATGTGTTAGGTAAGTGCCCTGTCCCTGAATTACATCTCTAGACCCTTACGCCATCTGCAGTGTTTTCAGTTGGTCTTTGGGCAGTGGCTTGCTCACAGGTAATAAGACTTTTTGTAATGAAACATCATTCATTTAGGAGTATTTGAATCCAGCTGGGTGTTGGTGGTGCACACCTTTAATACCAGCACTTGGGAGGCAGAGGCAGGTGGATCTCTGTGAGTTTGAGACCAGCCTGGTCTATAGAGTGAGTGCCAGGACAGGCTCCAAAGCCACAGAAAAACCCTGATTCTAAAACCAAAAAGAAGAAGTCTTTGAATCTGAGGAGGGCCTGTTCTTCCCTAGTTGTCTTCCTCTTCTCCTCAACCTGTAGCCAGAGTTGCACATGTATTTAGGTCTTAGCTTTTCGATAATTTGTAAACCAAAGAATGCCCACTAGATTTGGTTGGTTGTTCCTAAAAAGTTTTGGGTGTAGCTGGAGAGATGTCTCACGACGCATTGGTTAAGAGCACTGCCTGCTCTTCCGGAGGACCTGAGTTCCAGTCCCAGCACTCACTCACAACTCCATTTCCATTGGATCTGACACCAGGTGGCCTCCACGGCACACAAACATACATGCAGGCAAAACACCCATACACATACATAAAATGTTTTTAAATTTTAAAAGAAAAATTTGGGGTGGGACTTTCTCAATCATTGAGCCTCCCTCAGAGAAGCTCTCAGATGCTGTAGATCTAGCACGATCACTTGATAGAACCAACTGGATGTATTCCTGAAGAAGGTGGAGGCACCCATTAACGACATTGCGGTAGGCTAACTTGACCAAAGGTTCAGGAAGGAAAAGGTCTTAGCTGAATGAATTTTATAACATGTGGGCTGTGATCTTAGAGAAGAAAGCTTTGACTTTAGGCCATCATTTTGCCTATTTCTGTGTTGCAGGTATATCAAATAGAACTTGTTTGTTTTAATATTTATTTATTTTTGAGATAGAGTATCACTGTGTAGCTCTGGCTTGCCTGGAACTCACTATGTAGACCAGGCTAGCCTCGAACTCAGAGATCTGCCTTCCTCTACCTCCGGAGTGTTGGGATTAAAGATGTGCACTTCTGTGCCTAGCTGAATTTTTTTTTTTTTTTTTTTTTTTTTTTTTTTTTTTTTTTTTTTATCTCCAAGTTTGGCGAGACCATCTAGATTTTTGTTAAATTTACAGCCAAGTTATCTGGATCAAAAGCTATCAGTAATTGAAGGGTATGGTGACATTTATTTGTTTATTTTGTGTTCCTCTTGCAGGTGCTAGAATTAATAGGCATGAGCCTTAATGTCCAGCTGTCTTTAAAATCTTGAGTCTGTCTGTGGTGGTGCACACCTTTAGTCCTAGCACTCAGGCAGAGGCAGACAAACCACTGCATTTAAGGCCAGCCTGGTCTACAGAGTGAGTTCAAAGACAGCAGGGTTACACAGAGAAACCTTGTCTTGAAAAACCAAAAAAGAGCCAGGCGTTGGTGACTCAAGCCTTTAATCCCAGCACTGGGGAGACAGAGGCAGGTGGATCTCTGTGAGTTCAAAGCCTGCCAGGTCTACATAGAGAAGCTATGTAATTGATTTTCAGTTCTTTTCTTTGTCTTTCAGTTCTTTTGGGGGGCGTTTCGGGGGGGGGCGGTTGAGACAGAGTTTCACTGTGTAACAACTCTAGCTATCCTGGCTCTCTAGACGCATACCATGCACTGCCACCACCTGGCTTTTCAGTTAGTTCTTTAAAGATTAATTTAGTGAACTGGAGGGTTGGCTCAGTAGTTAAGAGCACTTGCTGCTTTTCTGGAGAATTAAATTCAATTACCAGCACCTGGTTAGGCAGCTTATAACTCCCAGTCCCTCAGTTCTCACCTCTGTGGGGCATATATGCACGCTCACACACAAATACACACAGATAAATAGTAAAGTCTTCTTGTAAACGTCTTCTGGGGCAGCATTTATGTAGCATTGGGTTCATGCCCCAGTGCAGGAATTTATTTTTTTTGTTGTTGTTGTGATTTTTTTTTTTTTTTTGAGACAAAGTTTCTCTGTGTAGCTCTGGCTGCTCTGGAACTTGGCTATATAAACCAGGCTGATTTAGAACTCACAGAGATCTACCTGCTTCTGCCTCCAGAGTGTTGGGATTAAAGGCCTGTGCCAGCCAACCCAGCAGGGATTTAAAAAAACAAACAGAACAAAAGACAGAAGTCCACCCCACCTCACAGGACCTCATGCACGAAAGTATTCCTGTGTTTCAGAGTGAAACTAAACCATAGCTTTTCCTCCAACCCTCACTTTCTGGGCTTTCCTATTTTCCTAGTTCCCTTTACCTCAATGCTTTTTTTCCTCTTGACAGATAATGCGCCTGAATGAAATCAAACTACATCGGAATAAGCTGATGAAAGAGGGGAAATATACCCCTCCACCTCACTTCGTGGGCAAGGGGGATCCCAGGCCTTGAACAGAGCAGCTGGAGGCTGCTTTTTGTGCTGTTTTCCACTGGGAAGACAGTTTTCACAGAAGCTTCTTCATCAAGTATATAAAAATATAGCATTTAAAGAATTACTTGATCTCATTTGTTCTGTTTTCTCTTGGCTCATGCTTTTCAATGGTGAAAGGCTGTCTGTCCAAGTTGCTTCTCCTAATTAATGCTTGAAGAACTGAACCTGAAAGCAGGGGACTCAAGGCAGCCAAGCATTTGAGTGCAATTTGTACAACAAGGCTCATTTTTATTATCACACCTCCTTTGATAACAGTGTTAGTTAGGAGTTTACAGTTTAGCAGTGCTGCTTCACAGGCCAGCCTGTTCAAGCTTATCTCAAAGCACAACAATGTTATTTGTCTTCAGAAAAACATCTGAGATTTGGGAACATTTGAAAGAAGGCCACAGGCATTCCTGTGTCCAAATTTCTTTCTTGAGAAATAGCAACATGGGATGTTCCCATGCTGTGTCACAAATTCATTCTACCCTCATACAACCTTAATTCAAACTCCAACAATTGGTGGTTGGTGGTGGTGGTAGCGTTTGAGGCAGTATCTTACTGTAGCCCAGGTGCCCTCTCCGTGAGTGCTGGGATGATAGATAGCCACAGTTGCCCTACTCACATTTGTTTTTCCAGATAGTTTCTTTTTCATTTTTTTAAAATTATTCTTCACTGGGGTGGTGGCGCACGCTTTTGATCCCAGCACTTGGGAGGCAGAGGCAGGAGGATCTCTGTGAGCTCGAGACCAGCCTGATCTACAAGAGCTAGTTCCAGGACAGCCTCCAAAGCCACAGAGAAGCCCTGTCTCAAAATATAAATAAATAAATAAATAGATAGATAGATAGATAGATAGATAGATAGATAGATACAATTATTTATTCTAATTTTATGTGCATTGGTGTTTTACCTCCATGTATGTCTGTGTGAAGGGTCAGATGTTGGAGTTAACAGTTGTGAGCTGCTATGTGGATGCTGGGAATTCAACTTGTGTCCTCTGGAAGAGCAGTCAATGCTCTTACCCCCTGAGCCATCTCTCCAGCCCAAGACAGGTTCTCTGTGTAATCCTGGCTATCCACAAATTATTTTTAGTAGCTTTTTTTTTTTTTTATATACATGTCTTTTTTTTTTTTTTTAAGATTTTTATTTACTTATGTATACAACATTCTGCTTCCATGTATATCTGCACGCCAGAAGAGGGCACCAGATCTCATAACGGATGGCTGTGAGCCACCATGTGGTTGCTAGGAATTGAACTCAGGACCTCTGGAAAAGCAGTCAGTGCTCTTAACCTCTGAGCCATCTCTCCAGCACTTTTAGTAGCTTCTTTTACTTACATTTTATTTTGTCTGTGTGTGGGCATGGTCAGAGGATATCTTGCAACGACTGGCTCTCTTCTACTACATGGTCCCAAGGATCAAACTCAGGACTCAGGTCTTCAGCCTTGATGGCAGGCACCTTTTTTTTTTTTTTTCAAGACAGGGTTTCTCTGTGGCTTTGGAGGCTGTCCTAGAACTAGCTCTTGTAGACCAGGCTGGTCTCGAACTCACAGAGATCCACCTGCCTATGCCTCCCGAGTGCTGAGATTAAAGGCGTGTGCTATGAACGCCCGGCCGGCAGGCACCTTTTATTTTCCCACTGAGCCATTTCACCGCCCATAAGTTGCTTGTTTCGTTTTTTTGTGCATTTAGAAATGCCTGAAAGCCTGGCAGTGGTGCATGCCTTTAATCCCTGCATCAGGAGGCAGAAGCAAGTGAATCTCTTGTAAGTTCAAGGCCTGGTCTACAAATCGTGTTCCAGGACACAGCCAAGGCTACACAAAGAAATCCTATCTCCAAAATAAATTTAGGTGGGTAGTGGTAGATCGCACCTTTAATCCCAGCATTTGGGAGGCAAAGGCAGGTGGACCTTTGAATTCAAGGCCAGCCTGATCTACAAATCAAGTTCCAGGACAGCTAGGAGTGTTACACAGATAAACTGTCTCAAAAAAAATGTCTGGATCTATACCTTAAAAGTCAGTATTAGAGAATAACATTTTTGAAACAACCTTTTTTTTTTTTTTTGAGACAGTCTCTATGTAGTCCTGCTGCCCTTGCTCTGTAGACCAGACTGACCTTAAACTCAAGAATCCACCTACCTGTCCCTTCTGAGTACTGAGATTAAAGGCCTGCACCACCATGCCCAGTTCCTACAGACGACCCAGGTTCATTTCCTAGCACCCACATGGTAACTCACAGCTATCTGCAACTCCAGGGGATCCCTGTTCTTGAGTCACCACTGGGCATGCACACAGTGCACATACATACATACAAGCAAAGCACACACATGAAATTAAACCATTCCAAAATTAAAAGAACTTCAGACTGAGGGGTATTTTGTGGGTTTGTCTGTTATTTGGATTTAGGTGTATGAGTGTGTGCCGGGTGAATGTTGTGTCACCAATACTTGCACCACACCTACTTTTCTGGTGTGCTAGAAGCAAACCCAGCACTACTATTTTTTTTTAAATTACATTTACTCATTTTTGTATGTTTTGCCTACATGTATGTATGTGTACTACATGAGTGTCTGGTGCCCTAGGAGGTCAGAAGAGGTCACTGGATGCCCTGAAACTGGAGTTGTGGATGGTTGTGAACCAAGATATAGGTGCTGAGAACTGAACCCAGGTCCACCTGCTCTTAACCTCTGAGCCTTCTTCCCATCCCCCAAAACTAGCACTTGCATGTTAGGCAGACACTATCAACTGTGCCCTGCTTTTTTGTTTTGTTTTTAAGAAGGTATCACTGGACCAGGCTGACCTTGAATTCACAATGATCCTTCTGCCTGACCATACCAAATGCTGGGATTATAAGAATAAGCCACCACGGGCTAGAGAGATGCTTCATTTGGTTAAGAGCACTGACTGCTCTTCCAGGGGTTCTGAGTTCAATTCCCAGCAACCACATGGTGACTCACAACCATCTGTAATGAGATCTAGTGCCCTCTTCTGACCTGCAGGCATACATGAAGACAGAACACTGTATACATAATAAATAAATCTTTTAAAAAATTGTATATATGTATGTATGTAAGTATATATGAATAAACCACCATACCTATTAGTCATCCTTCTGCCCTTTTTTAAGAAAATTGCACTTGTGAGGCTGGAGAGATGGCTCAGCAGTAGACATTTGCTGCTCTTAACAGAGGACCTAGGTTTGGTTCACAGCACCCATATCAAGCTGTTCATAACTTCCTGTAGCTCCAATTCCAGAAGATTTCACACCTTCTTCTGGCCTTTGTGGAAAACACACACACACACACACACACAAACACACACACACAGGTATGTATTACACAGGGTTGGTGAGATAGTTCAGCAGGTGAGAGCACTGGCTACTCTTCCAGAGGACCCAGGTTTGATTTTCAGCATCAGCATGGTGGTAACTCCAGTTCCAGATCTGATGTCCTCTCCTAGCTTCCCAGAGCACCAGATAGTCAAGTGGTGCACAGTCATACCTGCAGGCCAAACACCCATACATATAAAAAACTTAAGAGTGGTAAACTAGTTTGCTAATTTGAGCTGGGGAATGTAGCTCACTGGTACAGCAATGCTTAGTATGTGCTAAGTACTGGCTTCAATCCATAGCATTCCCTCTTCCCAGTTATCCCCTCAAATGGACCGTTGGGTGGTATTAAATACATTCACATTGCTGTGCAACCATCACCAGAACAACACTACCCATTTTCAGAGCTCTCATTGCTAAAGTGGAAACTTTCCCCATCAAAGGCTGGTTCCCATTCTCTCCCTTGAGCCCCTGGCAACCACTATTCTGTCTTTCTGTGGATTTGATTTCTTTTAAGCACCTCCTTTAAGTAAAATCCCTATGTTTGTTTTCTTGCTTGTTTTCATGGTGCTGGGCATGAAGTATCCTCTGAATTTAATCCTGAAAACATTTAAGTTCTTTTGATATTTTAGGCATTAAAAAAAGGGGGCCTGAGGCTATGGTTCTCTTGGTTAAAATCCTGCTTCACAAACATAAGGACATGAGTTCAGATTCCCGGCACTCATGTAAAAAGCCAGAGTAGACGGGTGAGGTGGCACACACAGACCTTTAACCTTAGCACTCAGCACCCTGAGGCAGAGGTCTGCATCTACAGTTCCAGGACAGCCAGAGAAATAACCTGCCTCAAAAAATTAATTATTAAAAATCCATGGTATGAAAACAGGCACATACCTGTAAATCCAACACTGGGGGACATAACAGGAGGGTCCCTAGGGTTTCTAGTTAAGTCAGTGAGCTCCCCAATTCAGTGTCTCAAAAAAAAGGTAGATGGTTATTTAGAAAGGTATCTGATGTTGACCTCTGACCCCCAAATGTATGCATAAGGACTAGAGATCTGAGTCAGTGGTTAAGAAAGCTGTTTACCTCCAGATGGCCTGGCCTTGGTGGAGAATGGCTCCTAGTTTGTGTAACAAATGACGTAGGCCCTGGGGAACCCACATCCATCCTGAGGCTGGTGAGATGTTATGGAATGTCTGAGGGCTTGAGTACGTGTGTTCTAGGACTATCTCTAGGATTAAAAGAAATGTTTCCTAGTCAGTCCTATGTACATGATAATAGATGTCTTCTGCCAGTACCCCTGCTTTTGGAGAGTTATTTAAGGTGATGCTGGAATAAACCGTGGTCTCCAGGGCTGACTGAGAGCCCTCCTGAGATGACAAGATGTCTCCATCTCGTCCTTAACGCGCCTGGGTAGCTAGGACTTCCCTAATCCACACTCTTCGACTCAGGGTCGGACCGGGGCTTCTCTGCTGCTTCCGATCGTAGCCCCAAAGACATCAGTCCGGAATAGATGGCCTCTGTAGTTTGGGACTGATAGAAGCCTTACCCCTGCACTTATTGTTCAGTTGGAACCTACAGCTCATTCCTGTTTGATCCAGAAAGCCCCATTCCTTCCTCTCCAAACCCTGCCCACTCAGAGAATCTCCGAACAAAGTGAAGGCACCAAAAAGCCCAGTTCCACGTTCTTGGTGGCTATGGCAGATCCTCTCCCCTGAAGTTGCCAGCCATCCAAGTCCCCACCTAAAGTGTTCAGCTTTTGACCAT